CATTTAACATAGTATACAAAACAATTTGGGGGGTGTTGGAAAGAACAACATTTGTAAAAAAAAATGATTTATTCTCGGGAATCGGTGTCGTCTACCACCCATCTTATCAAGTCGTCGAGAGTGGCCGCTTCTTGTCCGACGAAACATTCTCTTCCGGTCATCCGGCGATGCAGTGATGTCAACGAGTCGACGCAGCGTCTTTCCAACACAGATCTGTTCCGCTCGCCGATTTTCACGGCCGACCCGAAATTTACGAGTTCGGCGCCGTCCGTGATCAAGTCGACGAGCACGTTGTTCTCGTCCACCGAGTCATGGTAGAAACCGCGGTCTCGACAACCGACGCAGGCTTGCACCACCTGCTCGAATATCTTCTTCGCGTTGTTTTCTCCGCAGCACGAAGATTCCAGCATCTCGTTCAGGAAGCAGTGGAACGTCGGTCGCGTCACGGCCAGAAGGTAAGATCGGTCGTCGTTCGAAACGGCTTCCAAGTTCGCGCAACCGGGTACTCCCTTCGCCATCTCCATGAACACCGCTTCCTCGGGCAGCTGCGCACCCTTCCATCTTGACGTGGGGCAAGGCCTCAAAATCTCCTTTACCATGACGGGGTGGTGCGGTCGATCTCTGCGCCACGTCGGTCGAACGAAGCCGTCTCCCTCCGACCCTGGAACGTGAAATTGCAAGCGAATATCGTTGTTGTGCATCCGTCTGTACATCTCGTCTTCTATTGAACATATTCCCCATTCGCGGTCAGTTTATTCGTCCATGGATGATCCGACACTTGTTTCAGCGACGGCCTCTTCCTCCAGTCGACCGCCAGCATTCGATCGAGGAGCGAAAGTAGCTCCGCGTCGTCGATTATCTGCAAGTACGGTCGACGGCCGCGTTCTACTTATTCTCCGGTGATCATTTCGAACAGCATGATTCCGAGCGACCAGATCATCGCCGGAACGGAATACATGAATCGATGTTTCAGCATCTCCGGAGGAAGGTAATGATCGGTGGTTCCGAAAGCGCTGGCGATCGGTTGGTCGTCGACGAATTTGGCGAAACCGAAAACCGATCCTGTCCGTGTCCAGATCGACGATCACGTTCTCCATCTTCAGGTCTCCGTGAACTACGTTTCGTTTCAAGCAACCGACGCAGGCGTCCACGATTTGCCGAAAGAAGCATCTGCATCTCTCCTTCGGGATATTGCCGACTTTCTCCAGAACTTGAAATAGGTCGGAGCTCCGAAGCGGCCGTTCCATCACGAGTAAATGGCGGTCTCCGACCTGGTGAACGTCCACGAATCCGATGCAACCCTCGATCCCCGAGACCACCCAGAGGAAGTGCGCCTCCGCCAATATCGTTTCGCCCGATTCGTTCGTCAGGTAGGACGCCGAGGAGTTTCTCACTACCTTCACGGCGACCGGCAGTCCGTCGGCTCTTCTGATCGCCGAGTAAACGCTTCCGAAAGCACCGTCCATTAAGTGGCCCGAGAAGTCGTACATGTCCATAGTTGTTTTCTTATTCGTTTTCCACTGATAGATGTTAGGTAGAAAAGAAAAAAAAAAGCGAAACTAATAACAATTTTGTTTTTGTTTCCTCTTTTATTGGCTTTTCAAAACACATTTCTCCGTGCTGCGCCAGCAGCTTGTCGCACGCGGCGAGCAGTTCGACGTCGACCGAGTGAGGGGGATCGACCGATCGAAAATGCCGTTCGTCGGACGAGCAGCACACACACCGCGATCTTCTTCGTCGCTGCTGCTATCTCCGTCGTTTCCGCCTCCGACGCCGTCCACCTCCACGTCGTCGTATCCTCTCCGCAGCAGTTGCTGGAGCTGCTTGATGATGGACCTGATCTTTGGTTCGTTGGACGCCTTGCTTCGGGATGCCATAAGCTCTCGATCGCGGCGCTCGTGCTTGAAGTC